ATTTAGTAAATCCTTCAATGTCATATTTCTTTGTAACTCCTGTATCTGAATGCGAATTACTTGATATAATTAAAGATATTGATTCCAATAAAGGGGGCTAGGCATAACCATCTAAATTCTTCTGTTAAAGGAATTATACCAACTATCTTAAAAACATTAACTCATGCTATCTTGCTATTTCATTTGAAAAGATAGAATTCTTATTAAGTACCTTCATTGATTTATCTAAAGCATTTAATGTTGTTAGCCATGACATATTACTTTTAAAATTGTTTCGTTATGGTATTAGGGGTGTTGCGTATAATTGGTTCAAGTTTATCTTGGTGGTCGAAAACAATGTGTACAGCTTGGGGCTTGTAAATCATCGACGAAGGAAATGACATGTGGGGTGCCACAAGGGTATGTACAGTCTTGGTCCATTGTTGTTTTTGGCATATATGAATGATTTAACTCGAGTTAGTGACACTCTACATGTCGTTTCCTTCGCCGATGATACTACATTGTTTTATTCAAATGAAAATATTGAACATTTGTACGCCACTTTAATTGCCGAATTAATTACATTTTCAAATTGGTTTGCTGTAAATAGGGTTTTGATAAATACCACTAAAACAAATTATGTATTATTTTATACACATTGTAGAAAGTCTAAATTAATATTAACAACCATAATATCTATCTAAATGGCAAACACTATTGGTGTGACATCTCTCCCTCTCTCTCTCACACACACACACTCTCTCTCTCTCTCTCTCTCTCTCTGGTCAGGTAGCACCAAGTTGCGCAGCTGTGGCCTTCGCAATAGCATGCCATCTTCTTCTGTATGGTGCCAAATAAGTTGCACCATACATTCCATGTGTCGTAACTTTCCTTCCACAGCTCCATGAAGAATTTGCTTTTCAATTCCACTATCCTTTCTTACAATGTGACCAAAATACCTTACTTTTCTCTAAATAATGGTCTTCCTGACACTTAAGTATGATCCAGTCTTGTCCAGAACCCAGATGTTTTTGTCTTCCTGTCTTTCCCGGATACTCCTAAAAGCCTCCTGTAGCACCACATCTCAAATGCATCTATCCTCTTCCTGTCATTCTTTGTCATTGCCCAGGATTCACACCCATATGTAGCAATTGAGAAGACCGTTGCATATAATGAGTGTAACTTGAGCATACTCTGTGCTGTTGTCCTTGCTATAGCTAATCTTCTTTTTATCTCAGTTGTGCAATCTCCTTTGTTGTCTATGAATGAACCCAGATATTCAAACTTGTCAAACTTCTCAATCTTTTGACCATCTACCAAGAAATCACCACCAGTTCCATTTCTGTCAATGACCATCACTTTAGTCTTCTTTGCCTTTAGCATAAGGCCTTTCTCCTCGCTTGCTTCTTTTATGCGCTTAAAAATTCCAACAGTTGCTCTCTGCTACTGCGTATTAATGTGGTATCGTCCGCGTAGCGAAAGTTTGTAATTATGCTACCGCCAAATTTCACACCTCCAGTAAACCCATCCAAAGCTTCCCTCATGATGTCTTCCGAGTAAATGTTAAACAGGTTCGGTGATAATATGCAGCCCTGTCTCCGCCCTCTTCCTATCTTAAAATATTCAGTATTTCCACTATTTGTCCTGACTGCAAATTCCTGATCGTCATATAATTGACTGTTAAGGTCAATAATATAACCAGGAAATCTTTTCTTTCTCATTGTCTTCCATATTTCGGCATGGCTGACATAATCGAAGGCCTTGCTGTAGTCAATGAAGCACATATACAGTAGTAATATGTGATCTTCACATTTTTTCTATGATGTTCCTGATATTTGTGATATTTACAATCTGCTCTCCAGTTCCTCTTTCCACTCGATAGCCAGCCTCAGATATCTCTTCGTCAAGTTTTATCCTCAACCTTTTGATGATGATCTTTAAGAGGACTTTACTGGCATAATATATCAAGTTAAATGTGCGATGGTTTGAACACTTTTTATGTTTCCTTTCTTTGGGAGTGGCACAAATACGGCTCTGCACCATTCTTCGGGCCATTCCTTCTCTTTCCAAATGCACAAACGCCACATAATGTCAACACCTTCTTTGCCTGTTGCTTTCAATAGCTCAGATGGTATTTAATCAGTCCTAGGTGATTTTGAGTTGATCTGTTTCATTGCCTGTTCTATCTCTTATCGAAGTTGTATTGGTTCCTCTTCAATTTTCTCATTGCGAGTATACATTTGTTGGTCCTGTACCTTAAACAGTTTGGTACTGTACTCCACCCATCTTTTCTTTATATCTTCACTTTCAGTTAGAATATTGCAATTTGCGTAATTTATTACATTCTTTCTTGGAAACGTTTTCTTTGTCAACTCTCTTACTTGCTAAATGCAGCTTTTAAATTGCCTTTAGATCTGTCCATTTCCTGGCACTTTCTTTCGATGGAGCTCATCTTGTCTTCCTTTACATTTTAAACAACCTCCTTGTTTAGCTGCCACCTTTCCTTCTCGTTTCCTCCTGCTTTTGCTTCTTTCCGTCTTTCAGCTAAATCTAATGTTTCTTTCGAGATCTAGGGTTGCTTTCTTTTCCTTTACTTTGGGATCAGTTTCTTTGCTGTATTCTTAACTATTTCCTTCATGCCCTCCCACAGTTCGATTGGTGTCTACTCCTCCTCATTTACTTTCATTAAGAGCTCGAACTTATTCTTCACCTCTACAGCAAACTGATCTGGGATGCAATCAAGATCATACCTAATTGTTGGAATACTTCCTTTCTTAGCAGTCAGTATTCATTTCAACTTGGCTACTAGAAGTTTATGGTCGCTACCAATACCGAGTAAGTGCCAGGAAATGGACAGATCTAAATCACTCGGTCTTGTCCCTACATTTTTGGGGTGATGACCGCCATCTCTTCTGAATCATGGTGAAGTCAACCTGGTTCCTTATTCTATCGCCTGTGATTGACCAAGTCCATAGCCTCCTTGGATGATGTTCAAATAGTGTATTCCCGATAACCATGTTATTTGTCACGCAGAAATCATATAGCCTATCCCCACGTTCATTCCTGGCCCCAAGTCCATGTGCTCTTTCCAACTTTGGCGTTCCAATCACACAATATGATGAGCAGATCTCTCCTAGGTATACTATCCACAACACCCTGGATCATTTAATAAACTCCGTGATTCCTGAATCCGGTGCATCTGTGGTAGGTGCATATACTTGCATCACAGTAACAGTCATTGGATTTCCTTGCAGCCTTAAAGTCATATCGCTTTCATTGACTAGATTATTTCCAATGAAGGACTTGACACTAATTTTCTCAACTATGAACCGACTCCTTTTCTTTTCTTCCTACTTTCATTTCCAGAGTACACAATCATATACCGTCATCAGTTGTAAATCTTCCCTGTCCGAGCCACGAAAGCTCTGATTATCCTAGTATCTGGATGTCAATTTCAAACATCTCCTTTTCTACTATTTCCATTTTCATCTACGCTACGCTACGTACATTCCATGTAGCAACATTAATCGCTTTCATCACTTCTGCACTCTCATGATAAGGCCAGTTAGATACGCTGGGTTGCCAGGTCCTTCTGTACCAACAGTAGTGAGCCATTCCTGCCTCTTGACAGTAGTAGCCTCATCACCTACAGAAGCCTTCCTGAATATCAGTAGCTTGTGTCATTGTGATTTGCCGTTGACCGTTTTTTTTTTTTTTTGGTTCATTCGCCTCCACACATACATCAAGGCTGTTGACTACTGACGGCCATTTAACCTGTAACTAGGTGATTACTATTTAACCATACGCTGGGTTAGATTAAGAAAGACCAGGGCGTATCCACACCCATGCGTCAAACACCTTTCTCGACTTCATGGTCTTCCACGGGAAAGTGTGGGTTGGCTTGAGATGAGAGGCTATAGACCCAGGGGAGGACTTACAAAAATGCCTCCCTTTTTCACCAAATAGATGAAATAATCATAAGCAATGCAAAAAGGATGAAATAAGGTTTTAGGATGATAGTATGCAATGACAATAATCATTATGATAAACCGAATGGTTAGGGCCCACATACAGTGCAAGTCCATTATTACGTACGGCTCCGAGTATGTGTGTGACGCAATCATAAATGGTGTGATCATTAATGAAAATTTAAATTGGTCTGTTCATCAAAAGCGTATTTGCAATAAAATTTCAAAATATATTGGTATAATCAACAAACTGAAGCACTTTTTTCCTCAATAATATACTTTTAAATTTATATAAATCATATTATTCTTCCTCACTTACATTACTGTAACATCATTTATGCGGCTGATTATACTACTAATTTTTAAAAGTTCTAAAATTAAAAAAAAATGTGCTCCACGATCAATATCCTTATCTCATTTTTTAAGCACATATATCTATGATCTACATAACTTACAGGTATTATCTCATATGTATCAATTTGTAAACAATGTATCACCAACTTCAATTTCAGAAATTTTTTGTAACGTAAATCAACCTATACATATAATTTTAGAAATGCAAAAAGATTGGAAGTTCCTTTTACAAGCCTAAAAATATCAATTTTTTGTTACGCATTATGGTCCCAAGTTGTGGAATGAATTAGAAAAAGAAATTATTTCTTGTAAAAAACTTACTCTACTTTAAATAAAATTGAAAAAGATATATATTTCGAAATATAGTCCTGACTTGTCCTAGTTAATAGTTACATCTATACAGTTTTTTAAAAATTATCTATTACTTTTAATATAAATATTGACAACAGCAAAACATTTTATTTAACTTTTGTCTTGCCTCGTTATGTTAAGGAATCACCATGAGACAAGATGATATCTTCTAATTTTAATTCCTGAAATAGTCCTTATTCTGTTTATATTTACACTTAATATTTATATTTGTATTATCATTATTGTTATTATGACTATTTCGAAATAAACGTTACTACTAATTGACGAATGGATTGACCTAAATGATCATGAAATGAATCGAACCTGCTTTTTGGATATCTCAAAATTTTTTGATATCGTAGATCACGCTCTGCTGTTGGAAAAAAAAAACAACTATGGAATAAAAAACGACGAAATCAAATGGTTTAAAAACTACCTCAGTAAAAGAAAGCAAGCAGTTAAATATGGAAATAAAATATCAAGTATAAGGGATATTGAAATTGAAATACCCCAAGGCAGTGGGCTTGGTCCTGTCCTTTTTTAATATTCAATAACGACATAAATCACAATCTGTTGCAAATTGTTCATGTCGTATTTATGCGGACGATATTGTTGTTTATACTCGAGGAAAAACTATTGATGAAATAAAATGATAACCTACATCATATTATGAATAATATACAAGAATGGTATAAAAGGAACAAACTAAAAATCAACATCGAAAAAACTAAAAGTATGCTTATAAAAAACATATATTTTGTTCCGCCCTATAATCTTATCCATTTTGGAGATCAATTATATTGAAAATGTTTAAGACATACGATACCTTGGACTACAAATAGACAGGGCCAAGGATAAACTTACATTTTTTCCGGTCGAGGTTTTCTCAGCGGTTTTATCATCTTGACCCCATACTATTTGAAATAAGCTTGGGGACCACCCAAATTTTGGCCTCAAATACAAAAAGGCCCACAAAATCCAAAATGGCCGGCAAAATTACAATTACTAGAGATATACAACATATTTATTCGGTGTTGTCAACTTTTTTAAGTTGAATTGTCACCTCATACCTAAGCCTTTCAAAATCAATCAAGGCCACCAAAATGGCCGCCGAAAATTACAATTATTAGAGAAATGTTGCATAGGCCTATTATTTGGTTATGTTAATGTTTTCTTCAGTTGATTTGTCATCTGGTACATGAACCATTCAAGATCAATCGAGGGCCACCTAGAATTTGGCCTCAAATCCAAAATGGCCACCAACATTTTAAAAAGCCGCAAAAATATACAATAATTCCAATTTGCAGCTTTTATTTGGTTTTAAATGTCAAGGTTTTTTCAGTGGATTTGTCATCTGGAACATAAACTTTCCACGGTCAATCGAGGGTCACCCAGAACTAATGACTTATATAACATTTTAAGTTGTTCACGTTCTCAGGGGGTTAAAAATAACTGTGTCATCGACATACATATTCAGAGTATGTAATCACTTGAGGAAGATCACTTCAGAATAGAATGAGAGAAGGGGCTCCTAAGATAGAACCTTGCAAAATCCCATAATATAGGAGCAAAGTCAGAAAGAGTTCCATTAATAAACGTAGCTTGTTGACGGTTTTCAAGGTAGGAGTTAAACCAGGTCAGAAATCAGACACAAGGGCCAAATTGTTGTGAGTGTATGACTCCATTAAGTATAGTGTAATGTTACCCACTGTTATGGGTTGCAACTTTTGCTGCCACCAGTAATTGAGGAACGTTATTGTTTCCTTTTAAATTGTGGAAAACGATACCTCAATTTGATAGAAAATTGCTTTACCCAAAAAACAAGGGAAACCTCATGTTTGCCAGCATCATGAAGAAACATTTAAAAGAGAACTAGCAAAAAGATTTTTTTTTTCCTACAGGAGATTTTTGATATGCCATTAATAATAGAACCAACCTTAAAATCGTTTTTTGTTAATTGGTTATTAAGTTATAGGCCATTATATACGATTTTACCGTGACGTCACTGGCGAAAAAAGTAACAAAAGATCGTGTAAATAGCGCCGCGTAGGGTATCTGCCGCGTGCGATCTTTGCGTGCATGCTGTAACAATGGTTGTTGTAACTTGCATATCAAGTCATAGGCCTATAACTGCATCAGCGGTTGTCAACAGAAGAATTACAGCTATGGTTACAGCATGCACGCAAAGATCGTACGCGGCGGATACCCTACGCGGTTTTATTTACACGATCTTTTGTTACCTTTTTCGCCCGTGACGTCAGGATTAAATTGTATTCAATGGCCTATAACTCCAAAAGAAATTGCCAAAAAGCGATTTTAAGATTGATTTTATTATTAATGGCATATCAAAATTCCCCTCTAGAACGAAAAATCAGTTTGCTAGTTCTCTTTTAAACATTAACTGGAATTCTCTTTGCAATTTTCGGGGAAGCTAAGATATATTTCCTTCAGAGGAAACTTTTCGTTACCCCAAAAACTGGTGGCAGCCTAGTTGTCCTATTGTTGGTGTAGCCTATCCCTTTTTTTGTTACAATGTTCTCTCAACTCCGTGACATCAAGCATCAAGGGCGCTACATGTCTTAGCTTCATCCAGATTAGATTACTATAATGGCGTTCTTTTCAGATTGCCTTTAACATCAATTAGAAGCTTCAGATAAAATTGAACATCGCTGCTCTTCGTGCTGGCTCAGATTGGAACTTTCTTTTTTTTATTCCTTCACATTTCCAAACATTGGAACTTTTAATTTGCGCTTAATACATTTAAAATCAATAACCATTAACTATAAAACGGTATTCACACCAGGGCGAATTAAAGGGAAAAAAGAGATAAAACAGTAGGTTTGATAAGACATTTTATTAATGTTTAGTTTCGCGCACACATACATGGTGCAACACTCTTCAGATAAAAATTGCCTAATGACTAAGATAGATTGTTAACAAAGATCGATTAACTTTGCATGTGCAATGTATTTTTTTTAATTTTGTGTGTGTGTTTTCTTCTATTCAATTTCTTCTAATGCTGCATTTGTTATAGATGGTTTGGTGTTTGTAAAGTTCTCCCTGAAATTATTTTGATCATCTGTGATTTGTTTTTTGGATGTTATTCTTGCCAAAACATATATTTGTAATTTTTAATAATGTGTTTATGAGTGAAGTATGTAAATGAAATCCCCTGCAGCTTCGTCGTCATCGTAAGTTGTGTTATCGTCATCGCATGCAGTAACAAGCAAAAGTAGAGATATGATAAAATACAGTATAAACACGTTATATTTTCATTGCGGATTTTTTGGGCCTAGTACGGACTCCAAAAGCATACATTTTCTTTTAGTTTTATAGCGTATGCGGATTTTATAAGTCCGCAATGACGATATAACGTGTTTATAATAGTATTAAACAAATTACGTCAACACTCTTTATATGTATAATAGTAAAATAAAAGGGAAGCCAAAAAAAGAATAAAATGATCAAGAATCAATGGACAGTAAAAATTAATTAATTATTCATTTAATAAAGGTTACGAAGAATGATACTTAAATTTATGATTATTAATTAAAATGTCTCTGACAGCTGGTGGTAAATTGTTCTAAATGTACGAAAAAAATCAAAGCATGAAAATGTAACCATATAGAATTATGAATGAGAACAGGTAACTTACCTGAGGTTATCGTACTGACCAACTTTAAAGTTTAGTTGAGCTCGGATTTGAACGATCATTGTAGCTCCAGTTAACTTGTAAAAAATTTTAAAAAAATGTTTCATTTGAGTGGAGATTCGGAAGTTAAGATACTTTCCTGGGCCATACAAAAATGTCCTATATTATCTTATAAACAACCTTATAGGTGTTTCAACAAAATCTGTGTCAAAACCTCGATATAAACTTGTAGAATAATTAGCTATATATTTTCCCATCCGTTGAATGACAACTTGTTACAGTATACTTCATCGATTATATAGAAAAAGCATACACAAAAAATCTTATAATATGGTGCTCTAAGCTTTGTCCTATAGAAACCTATAGGATTTGTCCTACAGGAAACTATAGGATTTTCCTCATCCTTGGAACAATTTCTTTCTATGGGCTTTTTGATATGATCTTATGAAATGTTGTCCAAAATTGGAAGAAACGATCTTAGGGTAAAACTTGAGAATAACAACAAGATAATCTGAGATTACAAACCCTCGCCCTGCTGCCGCGCCATATCTTTGTATCCGCTAATTGTTGTTGTATTATAGGTAGGCCTATATAATATTACTGGCTATATGTATTATAGGCTGTGTATATGAGGTGAAATGTGGCCGAGCGGTAAAGATGCACGTTTTTTTTTTTTATTGCTTGTTGCTTTTTTTGTTTTTGTTTTTTATTATTATTATTATAATTTTGTTATTTTTATTATTTGTGCATATTATATTAAAAATGAAAAAAAAATGTAAAAAAAAAAATATTTAAAAAGTAATAATAATAATTTCTGAATGCTCCAGTATATGTATTTAACTTTAAAAAACAACAATAGTGTGATTTGAACTCCATACGTTCGATTATCTTTCCAAACAAAACGTGCATCTTTACCGATCGGCTACATTTCGCCTGATATCTAGCTACACCGCTACAATACAACAACAACCACCGGATACAAAGATATGGCGCGACAGCAGGGCGAGAGTTTGCAATCTCAGATTACGGTATCTATTTATATATATATTGTAAAATTGGGACAGCAGTTAAAACATATAAAATCTGCATTTTACTTCTCCAATCCATCAGCCAAACGAGGCCTAGCATAAGCCTCAAGTAGCAAGCCAATCAGTCGGGCTTACATGCCTTCCGGGCTGCATCCAGTCGGCTGACAATATCATGTCAGCATGTTGACATGTGTCAATATGACACATGGTCGGAACGCCTGAGTCGGTCCGCGGTCAAACCGCTTGAGTCAGTCTGGCTTAGCTAAATGACTCAGTCGAACGATCCGCTCGAGTTAGCTCTGTCAGTTGCGGCAAAACTATATAAATATATAACGTTCTTAAATCTACATCCTACTTCTGATGAGCACTAAAATCATGGAAGAACCTAGATACATGTAATATTGTCAATATGTGAAAGTTTGACGTTAATCGGTCCAACAGTTTTTTAGTTATTCTCCCGGAAGGTCAAATGACACAGACAGACGCGCAGACAGACAGACCGACAGACCCACTGACCCACGGACAGACAGACAGTCAGATGTAGCTCATTGTAATACTCTCTCCCCACTTCGTGGCGCGAGGGCAATAAGCTGAAAATAAGATAAAGAAAAGTGGAAGCCGTTTTCACTTAAATTGTGAAATTATCGATACTATTTATATTTTTAAAACTTGAGGACAAAAAAATTATACACTTTCACAATTATACATTACCGTACGTTATTTCTAAATGAAATAATAATAATAATAAACAAAAAAAATAATAAAAATAATAATAAAAAAATGTCACTATTAATATTGTTATGTTCATACAATATTTTAAAATGTGATGTTTATATTTTATCTTAAAATAACTAATTCCTAATATGAAAAAAACGAAAGAATGAAGTATCACTTTAAAACCAATATTCAACAGTACTGTATATTTGTATTTAGTACCAAATTACAGCTGGCATATAAAAACATATTGTCAGGAATTCTTACTTAAACAAATCTAAATTGTGCAGCAATCACCAAATGGATCATCCATGTTTTGAGATTCAGCTGACTACTGCAAGGTTTCTGTTGCTAATTGGTAATTCTGACAATTCAACTGTTTCAGTCAGCGATTCGTATTCACTACCAGCAACTACTTTCCATCCCTATCACCGTACTGTTTTCCAATATCAGACTTGTCTTCCTAAAATCAGCGTACAGTCGCAAATTGTGTAACCGAGTAGTTAGCATAAGAATTTCGCAGTACTGTATACTTCAGTACACAGAAAAGCTATAATATTTTTACTCATAAATTTAGCAATAGGGGGTCGATTCTAGTAAATTACCCATCATTTTAAAGCTTATAATGTCGTGAATAAAATATAATAAATAGTCAATTTTCATTTTTAGTCACTGATACTGGTTTTGGGATAGTTTTCATTCATTCTTAGCTGATGTTCCCTGGTTTTTACACTTTCCTGTCACGCGGAAGATGAGAAAATGTCCCAGTGGATTATTATCGGCATAGAAATCTATATCCCGTCACGTACGTACCAGAATAAGGCACATTCTTAACCTATGTACAATCCTGCATGTGCTTCTGCCATAGTTCACCGCAACCATAGTGATGTTATTGTACTGGCTTAGTGTTGTGATAGTAGGCACAATCGTTTTTAGTGATAACCACTCCTAACTCAATCAAAGAGTTAGAAGTGGTGACGTTCTACAGCTGAATAGATGGCTTATGAAGAGTAAGTAGATAAGCTAATTACACTCGCCTCTCCAAAGGCGCGCCCGTGTGTGTGGGCGTGTGTGTGTGTGTGAGGGTGTGTCTGTCTGTGTGCCTCCTTCCGGGAGAACAACTCAAAAACTACTGAACCGGTTTACTTTAAATCAACCACTGACAATGTTACATTTTCTCAGTCTGATTGGAAGTAAGATGCGGAATTTATAATGTTATTGCTGCGAAGCAGCCAATTCATATTCTTGACAGCAATTTGACCTCTGAAAGGTCATTGTTTGTCAAAAAAACAAGGGCCTAAGACGACTGAAAAGCGGAGTTTCCGTATAAGAGACAGGACAACAATAGAAGAAGATTGGAAATGACCCGAGATTTCCTTTGTTCTTCCATCCCGGCGATTCGTTGTGTGTTGCATGCTTTTGATATGCAAATCCAGTCAACCAAACACTGTTGCAGCCAAGCGAATGCTTAAGATGTGTATACAGCCGATACCTCGCACAACTCGAGTAACGTCTCGTATCTATTGTCATGACATCATGGCTCGCTGGCTCACACTTGTGATGTCTCGCACTTGTAATCAAATAACACGCTGGCTCGCACTTTGGCAACACTCTCTGGCAGTCAACTCGCCCCTAGAAAACCCGCCCTTGGAAACTTGCCCCATAAAAAATGTACACTTCCTAGACCATGCAGTTTTCAAAATAAAAATTGTAACCTTTGGTAATCAACTACATTTTCCACATACATAGAAATTTTTGAAACTTAAACCATAATTCACCACTATAGACACTTTTTGACAAAAATGAAAAATTACGACTTTGTTACCCAATGAGAAGTGTTCTAATATAGAAAATGGATCGTGTCTCATATTATTTGTTATATATTTATTATTCATTATTTTCACTTGACTCGCATGAATAATTTTGTTCGAAAAACATTTATATGCAGTTGTACTTCGCAGCACTTCACTTGCAATTTGCAATTTCTTGTTTATGTATATTCCGGCTGCAACTGAGCCAACTCGAGCGGATCGTTTAACCTTGATTAGATAGGCCGAGTGGAATCGAGCAGATCGACGGCCGGCTAGAGTAAAGGGGTCGGCAGACTGGAATTTTTTCAAGCAGTAAACCTAACCTTCGTATAATAATGTTTCGCTAGTGTACTATGCGCGGATCTATTAATTGCTTAATAGTGCACTCGCTTCCACTCCACTATATGAACGTCGCGATTAGTTTCGACAAGAAAAAGAACAATATGACCACTAAAACAATAGATTGCATGTTGTAATGTCAGAAATATAAGATCATATTTTATGATTTACAAAGCATGATTTATTGACAATAGTGTGAAGGGAACTGCAATAGCGCCCTCTGTGAGGGTGAGGTAGAGGGTAGAAGGAAGAAACATGGCGAATAAAGGCATATGTCTGTGAGACAGTAATAGGTTGTCTAGTATTATTATTGTTGTTATGGTGTGATCCCGGACGGAGCCGAGAGGAAGGCTTCGTGACATATGGTGGAAGACCCGGGCAGGTGATAACACTATTTATACTCATAATACTAGTCCTAGTCATGGCAAATAACAGTTTTAGGCCGCCACCTTTTACGGGTGAAACAACAAAGGAAGACGCCGACGAGTGGATTTATGCGTTCGAAAGGTTCTGCGAATTTGCACGGTGGGACGACCAGAAAAAATTCACAGGCATGAAAAACCTTTTACATAACAAGGCTGCTAAATGGCTTCGTACAATTGATCAGAACACAATCAATAGCTATGACTTATTGAAGCAGGAATTTTTAAATAAATATACACTTCAGCCAGCACAGATATTTTAATTGAGACAAGAATTATTAAATACCAGACAGCAAGAGGATGAGAACGTAGACGATTATACAAACAAGGTAATACACCTATGTTATAGATTGAATATTGATGAGTTAGAACAATTACACTATGTAATACAAGGACTCCGGCCAGTAATAAAAAAAAAACATGTAGTGAGAGGCCAGCCTACAGACATTAATTCAGTAATGAACATAGCTAGGGCAGAGGAAGCTGTCGAAATTTTGGGAAATTTAAAAATCACTGACTCCAAGGAAACAGAAAATCCTAGCCTTAAGAATAATCCTAGTACTAAATGCCAACTATGTTTACAAGATGGACACACAGCGCCATACTGCACAATAACCCAAAAACAAACAATCGTATGTCAAATGTGTGGTAATAAAGGTCATGCAGCACCCGAATGCGCGATGGGAATTTGGGAATAGACCAATGACGCAAACAGGATATCAATATTCAACTACACCACCGTACAGACACTGGTCACCAAATT